ATATATATATATATATATATTATGGTTTTAAAGGAATAATTGGCCAATATTGAGGTTTCGCTTTATCCCTGTGTCTATCAACCGTAGCTTGAAGCGCAGTTTCCATTGCTAATATTGTAGAACTCGCATTACCATATAACAATTTTGCATTACTATTTCTTGTATGCATCCATGTTGCTCCACCTTGAATATTCATATTCTCCTCTTCCTCTTTCTTTTTTTTAATAGATATTTCTGATTCTCTCAATTTTTTCAATTCAAATTTATGTCTCATGCTTTGCTCCAAGAAATTCATCATTTCTTCGTTTACATGAAATTCAATATTTCCACTTTCTTCGCTCGATGTTGTTTCTTCGCATTCTTCTTCTACATTCGTACGCTTATAATCATGTTTTTTTTTATAATTCAGAGAATACCGTTGATCCTTTTCACGTATCACAGATTTCAATTTATCTCTTAATATTTGATTTTCATGTTCCAATGCAATACATCGAGTTTTCCACCAAATTATACTATGTCTAAAAATTAATATTATTTATTTATTTTTTTTCTTTTTTTCGCTTTCTTAAATCGAATCCGATGAAATTTTGATCATTTTTTATACTTTAATAAACATATATATATAAAAACTAACCTTTTTTGCCATTCCTGAGCAGCCGTGTAATTTTCCCAAAAGGAATTAGCTTGCATCGTATCGGTGATTAATTTTTCTTTAGAGATAAAAATATTACAACGTTCTGAAATAAATCCCAAACGTTTTGCAGACTTAACCTCAAATTTTATTTGTTCGCGTCGTTGCTTTTTTAAATGTCTCCTTCTTTTTCGACTTCTTACACGTTGCATACCAACAAATTCCATATCTTATAATCGTTTCGTTCAAAGTTACGATCGAAGAAATAACATTATCAACCCATTTATATTATTTCACAGCAATTACGATCAACGAGACATCTAAATGTACAACAGTACAAGCACAAAATAAATCTTTCATTCATAACATATCAATCTATAACCGATACTACGTTTACTACGATATGAATATTTTCGCAGATAAAACGAGAATAGATTTATCAAACGATCTATTAAGTCATTAAGTATAAAATATTTAAATTATAAATAAGATACAAAATACATATATAACGCGTATATAACGTCTAATAAATTTTTTTGTTCCATTATAGTAAGATTTCAAAGTGTCCCATATCAATTATTATATTTTTTATTAATATCGTATAATAAATTGTTAGAGAAATTTTTAGACAATTAACTCTAAAAATTGTTAAATTATTAATTATTGTATTTTTATATTTTTCATGACATAGGATGAATATATCGGCTGTTGTTACGCATTCGAGAAATTGATCGAACAAAAAAAAAATTTATTTAATCGAATTAACAACCATAGCATTTTCTACTATGTAAAGACATATTCTTAGAAAAATAAATTTAAAATAGTAAGTTATTTCTAAAATTAATACATTCAATGATTTATTATATTATACACACATATAGTAATAATTTGTATTATAAATTTGTATTATAAAATTAATAAATTATATATAATTGAAAATAGAATATTATAAAAAAATATATATATATTTTTAAATATTTCATATATTGTTGAGTCAAGTCTAATTTTCATTAGACAGATAACTATCTATACCGTTATTGATATTATTGATCAGTCAAAACAAATAATCTTGTTCGTTAAGCTTATAGCATAAGCTAAATTATGAAATATCTAGATTAGATATAAGCAAATATAAAACTAGACTAGTAAGAATTAGTTCTTGAATTTAATATATAATATAAAATATTTAGTCTGTGGCTATAATTATCGTATTTGAAAAGAATAAGTTCTTTCACAAATAATACTTAGAACGAACACGATATTTCATCGGATTTTGCGTCACATGTTCTGAAATACCGATCTCAAAAAAAGATCATGTGGCGACATCTCGACGAAATCAATTTTACCAACTATCAATCCGGCCAAAAAGTCAGAGCGATATGTGACAATCGAAGATAAAAATCGAAAGTGTTACGACCGAATATTATGAAGTAAGAATGTACCTATAATAAAAATGATTAACAACAAAATCTTTTAATTTTTTCTTTTGTTATAGTAACGAACATGAAATTGATATGACTCCTGTGATTTCGCGAGAAGATGAAAAAAAAAGTTGCAAACACGTGGTTTCACGAGAAGATAAGATAAGCGAGCATGTTGCACAGCTAATGAAATGATACGTTCACCTTAAAAGACAATAATAAAGAAAAAAAGAATATCCATAAATAACTGTACAGGCAGGAAATTGAGGTAAATGATGAATTTTTAAAATTATTACAATGGAAAAGCAAATAAATAAATTCGAACAAAATTGAATATTAGACAAAAAACGAGACAGATTGGAAATTGTAATAAATAATGAATTGGTAAAATTATTACGGTTCGAATAAGAAACAAATATTTTTTTTTTTGATTTCAGAAAAATCAGATTTTAAAACTTTAGCAGAAATAGCAGATAAAATAAGACAAAATGTGCCCTACGTTATGGAAATAATATCGAAGAAAATTGGCATATTGACAAGCTATGGAAACAAAAGAAAAATGTTATCGAAGAAATTAAAACAATAATCAAGGGTTTGAAAGGCAGAACAAGAGATTTCAATAACGAATACAAGGATGATAAGTTTACCATTATCATTAAAATACTTAGAACCTCCTTAGAACAATATCATAACAAATGTGTTACAACACGTATGTTTATAATCAAGAAACAAAAAACTAAATTACCTATCGTTCGAATGAAGAAAGAATCAATGGTGAGACAAGAATAATAATATGTCGACAAGAGTTAAGCATATATGTCTTTACGACAAAGTCCAGCTTAGTAGAGTTTGGTTAAGCTCTTTCAAGAGGTATCCGTTAAATAAAACAAAATATAATAATTTTAAATTATATTAAAAAAATAATTCAATTATATATATTACATATCAATAATTACTCAATAAAATCATATATGCGAATTTTGTATGCGGATTAAGTGAATGTTTAAATATATTTTTTTTTATACCAACAGATACTATACCTTTTATAAATGCCTTTCTCATTTATTTTGGACTAACGGCCAACCGAAAGAGAGAAATTTTCAAGATAGCATTCAACGACAACGGTTCAAGAGATGATGAAGAAAAAGAACAAGATCCTTTTATTCTATTTATTGAAAAAGAAATAATTCTGAAACAAATTGTATAGAATGAATTAATAAAACTTAATAACAGATTTGAAGAAAATAAAAACAAAACAAAATTTTGTTCGTTATGTTGATTCAATATATATCGAATCCGAATGAAAAATCTATATCTTAATTTGAGAAAATATTCGATACATTGCAAATATATATTGTTAAATTAAAATAATAATTTTTGCGTTTATAATTATTCTTATACAATATATATATCGAATCATCGAATATGTGAAAAGTAATAATATATATTAAAGAAAAATGATAAATTTTAAAATAAAATAATAAGAAATAAAATATGAAATCTAGTATTATATAGAAGATAATTTTTAATATATCAAACTATTTAAAATGTGTCACAAAAAAAAGAATACAATACTTAACTTTTATATAAAATGCTATAATTATTTAAATAAATTAATATGAATTTATCAAGTATCCGCTTATTTATTCGTTAATATAATCTTTATTCTACGTTTTATTTATTCTCTCGTTAGATCTTAGTAGATTATCTCTATAATAATTTACGATCGATTGTTCGCAAAATCCTTTCTTTACTATTGTCAAATATAATAGTAATTCGAATTAATATTATATCTATAGAAGATTATCACTCTATACTATTATGATTCAATTCAATCGATTATCTTTCAATATAATATTAAATTCTCTTATTAGTATTAAATTATTGAAAACTTAAATTTTATTATTTAATAACACTTGCAAAATAAACGATAAATGAAATAATTAATATCGAAAAAATATTTAACGCTTAAAACTGTTGCTTAAAACTATTTTATCGAGAAACTTTAGATCGTAGAAAATTCTTTTACGTAGCAGATGATTCAATAATTGTAGACACAACTGTACGCTATGTACAATTTAAAAGATACATGTATAAGGATTATTTTAATTTTTTTTTTATTTTTAATTTCTAAATGGAATTTTAATTTTTGAAATTTTAAATTCTATACTTTTATACTTATACGGATTAATAGAAATTTCTAATTTTTTAATTTTAGAGAAAATGATAATTTTAAAGAAAAATGAAAGGGAAATTTGAATCTTTAAAAATTTTATATTCCGTTTATAGAGATTTAAACAGGTTATTTTTTCTTTTCTTTTTTTTAATGGAAATTTATTATTTAAATATTTAAGTTATAAGAAAAAAGGAAAATTAAATTTTTTGAGATTTCAAATTCCAATTATGAACCAACTAATTACCAGGATTAATGGAAATTTATTATTCGAAATTTTAAGAAAAGAGAAAAAGATAAAATTGAAAATTTTAAATTTTAATTATAGGATTATTTGAAATATATCTAATAAAAAAGAGAAATTTACAGAGAAATTCTTAGAAATTTTAAATTCTAATTTATATAGTATAAATATATATATATATATATATATATATAAGTATAAATTTATGATAGAAATTTATCATATAATTATTTAAAAGAAAAAAGAAAAAAGCAAATTTGAATGATTATTTATATGGATTAACGAAAATTTACAGATTTAATATTTAAAAGAAAATTATATTTTTGGAATTTCTAAATTTTAATTATGGTTAATAGGAATGATTAAATATTTACAATTTTAATATTTAGCAAAATAGAAAAAGAATAAAATTGAATTTTTGAAGATTTTAAATTCTATTTATGATTTGTAGGGATTAATAGGAATTTATTCTTTAAATTTTGAATATCAAGCGAAAAGGGAAAATTGAATTTGAGAAAGTTTTAAATTGATTAATTATAATTAATATTAGTGAGTATATTATTTATCTTATGGTATAATCAATATTATTAATTCTTGGAACGATTTATCATAGGTTATTATATAATTTATAAAATTCGTTAATAATCCTTATACCGCAATATTTTATTCGTTTAATAAATTTTTATACTATAATATTTTATTTACAGCGATAAGCTCTTTATTCGGAGAGCAGAGAGAAACACGTCCGCTTCGTTCCGTGTTCAGAAACCGACTACGAAGATATATAATAATAACCGATGTGTTATTATTTCTTGCGTCGCGGTTTACGTTCGCTATAATATTCGTAATAATATTCTAATAATATTTGTAACGTTATTAATTTTCATTATACTATTTTATCAATCGATATTATATGATTACATTACGTTCGTTTTATTATTTTTCGTTTCTTTAAAATATAATGCTTTAATTTTTTTTATCGATAATATTTTTGATAATTAGTTCTTTTTTAATTTTTTTTTATTATTATTAATTTGTAAGATGCATAAAGAAGGCTTAATGGTTTTTTTTGTTTATTTTGTTAATTTCTTGGTCATTTCTTATTGGTATTATTATCGTAAATCTATCTAAAGTATAGATACGTTTTTTATTTTTTTATTTTTTTTGTAAAGATATCTTTAAATACATTTTTGACAAATTTATTATTGTTTATTTTTCTTACTTTTTGTTACACTTTAATAGTTTTAACGATAATAATTAATTTTAATTATTATATTTCTTTCGATAATTTTTAATTTCGTTCATTTAATTTATGATTTTTATTTTAATTTTCGGTCAAATTTTGATGATTTTTTTTTTCCTTTTTAATAGAAGAATTATGACAGGAACATAGACGAAGCATAAAAAAAAAAAAAAAAGTACAATGGAAAGTACAAGTTTCTTAGAAGAGACATTGAAAAATAGATTGAATTTGAAATGTGAATTAAGTAATGGATAGATAAATCACTGATAAATGATGCGTCAATGGTTCTTGTTTCGATTCTTGTAATACACTTTTTTATTATATATAAAAATGTTTTTTACGGTGATCGAACGAAAACGATCCAGAAGAATAATAAAAAAAAATGGAAATTAAAAAAAAAATTAACGAAGATTATCCTCGAGTAACTCAAATAGCCGAAAATTAGAAATTTGCTCTAGAGGGGCTGTGGCTAAGTTGGAACGCTGTTTTTTTCCGCACGCGAAAGACCCCAGTTTTCGAGACTCACCCGTGTTGTTTTCTCGACTTGGAGTTCTTTCGCGAGCGACGGACAACTTCTCAACTTGTCACGAGGGAGAATGACCCTCGGTGTCTTTCACCCGCTGCTACAGACTGGGGATTATCCTCTTTGGTCTAGGGAGTTTTTCACCCAGGAGACCATTCTCTCCGGTCCGGGGGGTTTATCCCGTGGTATACGTCAGGGTCACGTAAGGGTGGGTACCGTGAGGACCACTTAGGGGTGGGTTCCGTCAGGACCACGTAGGGGTTGGTTTCCGTCAGGACCACTTAGGGGTGGGTTCCGTCAGGACCACGTAGGGGTGGGTTCCGTCAGGACCACGAAGGTGTGGGTTCCGTCAGGACCACGTAGGGGTGTGTTCCGTCAGGATCACGTAGGGGTGGATACCGTCAGGACCACGTAGGGGTGGGTTCCGTCAGGACCACNACGAAGGGGTGGGTTCCGTAAGGACCACGTAGGGGTGGGTTCCGTCAGGACCACGTAGGGGTGGGTTCCGTCAGGACCACGGAGGGATGGGTTCCGTCAGGACCACGTAGGGGTGGGTTCCGTCAGGACCACGTAGGTGTGGTTTCCGTCAACACGACGTAGGGGTGGGTTCCGTAAGGACCACGTAGGGGTGGGTTCCGTCAGGACCACGCAGGGGTGGTTTCCGTCAGGACCACGTAGGGGTGGTTTCCGTCAACACGACGTAGGGGTGGGTTCCGTCAGGATCACGTAGAGGTGGGTTCCGAGAGGACAACGTAGGGGTGGGTTTCGTCAGGGGATACGCCTTATTAAAACGGCTGTATCTCCGAAGATACTGGAGATGCATACGACTTCCGGTGCGTTGCAAGCGGAAAAGATTGCTCTTTACACTCAGTTTTCACTGGTTACGCTAGCAGAAGCGGTTCATACGCTATGGTCTTATAAAGAAGACGAAATTTTAGAATATTTAATATAGTGTTTTTTTAAAAGAAGTATATCCACGAAGCTAAAAGAGAAACACACGTTTTTTTGGAGTTAAGTGCAGGCGGAAAACATCGTTTTTTATAGGAAATAGTAAAAATTAAAAATCTGTGACTAAATATAAAAGTTATCTTTGTTTTATATGGTTTGTATTATTTCAATGATAAGTTCGTTGGAAATGTGCACAAAAAAATTAAATATATAATATTTTTCTATGCTCTTTGTATATCAATGATACGAAATTGAATATTAAAAAAAGTCCCCGAAAGTTAAGATTGTTCGATCGAGAAAAAAGTAATTAAAGCGATGTTTTAAAAAATCGATGTATATTAAAAAA